TTAAAAAGCTTTAAAATGCTAAGTCGAAGTACTTATAAATAGTGTTGGTGGCTAATACATTGTGATAGGGTCAAGCTTATAAGATATAAATGCACCGTGCTAGTATCTTGGATGAAAACGCCCCTGAGAGAGAAGCGGACAATGAATTACTATTACTGTATTGTGACAATCTCAGTGTACTTCTCGGGGTATCGTCTCATACATCCTCTGCCATTAGATTTGCTCAGCGCAGTGTTCTAGTTAGTGGTGCCATCTCTTTCAGGCTAGGAATTCGTTGGATTTCCTTGCTTCTGTTCTTTTTCTCAAACCAGGCAGCTGAATCCCTCGAAGTTCACTGAACTTATGCGTTGCGCTATCGCGCTATCGCGCTCAGAAGGATCGCCCTGCTGCTCTTGATGCACATTCGCTTGCGCTCCGTTGTGCTTCTCCCAGAACGTACGAGAGGTATAAAGGCTCAAGTATTCGTTGAGTCTTTGCACATTGATCAGCACAGTGAATGTCAGGAACAATGTAATGACAGCTGTGACCACCATCCCTCTTATGCTTTCGCTACGAGGGGATGAATCGGCCATGCTCCAGATCCCTGTGGCAAATCCAAGTGGCAGAAACACGGCAGTGAGGAACGTGAAATATCGAATGTTCTCTGCGTTCTGAAAGCTCAACTCGTCTCTTGTAGAATCGAGCCCGCTTGAGAGGGAGACTCTCAACGACTGGATGGTGGCTAGGTGATATCGCAAGTCTCGAATCGCATGCAAGTTCTCATTTGTAAGCTTCGTGATAGCAGCCCGGTATCTTCCCTCATCGTTTTTTGTCCATCGCGGCTCTTCGGGTCTTCGATCTGCTTTGCGGGTGTTCCATATGTCAATATTCTCCAAGACTTCCTTGAGATCTTCCTCAATAACTTGAAGAGAATATTGTAAGGCCGGCCATGTCTTACGGAACACCAGATAAGCACCATTGTTCATCTGTCTAGAGAACAGCTCGTTCGAGATGGATACTATGTTCCCTTTGACTTTCTCTTCTTTGGTATTCTTGCTATCTGTTCTCGCCGTGCGAACAAATAGCCGCTCTAGCTGTTGGCCTATCTCCCCTATGATTTCATCGTATCGCTGCGTTAGCTCCCGAAGCATTCGATCAAGCAGAAGGAGTTCCAGCACCTTGCGCTGCTTCCATGGCTCCTTTTGTTGCTCAAAGTCCAGCTTCAACTCCTTTAGCTTGAACATCTTTTCAAGCTTCTCTGTGCTTTCTGGCTCGTCCTCAGGAGTCAAGCCCGTCTATCTGAACGAAGGCGAAACAAACTCCGGCTCGGTCTCGAGAGCGTGACAGGTCCAATAACGATCGAAGAAATCTCCCACAAACCGAAATCCCGCACCTGCTCTTTCTATCAGTAAGTCATTGTTTCCTAGAAACATCATACCGGCTCTTTTTTCGTTCCTTGTCTGACGGATAAGTCGGTAGGATGAAAGGTGCAGCTCGGTTGTCCACAAGTTCGCAGCAGCAGTCACTTCATCGGAGAAGTATTTGGCCTTATTGTTGTGCCGTTCAAAGAAAAGGTTCAACGAATCTGACTCATCATCAGCAGATGTGATGCGACAGAATCTCTTAGTATCCGTGTCGGGATTCGTGATCCATACGAGCCGTTTCTTGCTGTTATGTACCGAACGCTCTTTTCTAAGCTTGTTGTACATGTCTTCGTTATCCAGCAGTTCAACATCAACTAAAGGATCTTCGTATTCCTTGCTACGGTCAGTCTTTGGGATGTCGATGATGACGCCATGCGGTATGACAGTCGCATTTTTGTTCTTGACAGTGTCCTCGACAGGTACAGTGTCTTCAGCAGACAACTCAGAATGAAAAAAGCTTGGAAACCTATAGAGCCATTCATCTGACAATTCAACAATGCTTTGTTGAACAATGACGTTATTAAACGGTATCCTTTTCTTCATCGTCATTTGAGTCGGGTACAAATCTGAAGCTAGTGAACTTGCAGGTAAATCTTTCTGACCTTGGGTCAGAGCATCATCAAATTCCTTCTGGATTTCAGAAAGAATAATGCTCACATCCCTCTGAGTGTGGGCAGGAACATTGCTCAAATCTTTCTGAACTTGGACAGGAATGTTGATCGATTCCTTCTGAACTTGAGCAGAATCCTTGCTCAAGACCGATTGAAATATGTCGGAGTCTCGGCATTCCCAAAGTATGTAAGGAACTTCGAACGTTCGATGCCAGTAACGGTCCCTCCATTTTCCCTCATAGGACATCTCAGGCTCTTTAGTCAAAGGGTCCAGTGCACCTGGAAAGAGCCCGTTCGCAGACGAGCTCTGTAATAATATGTCTTTTGCGGCTATACAATCGATTGTCTCGCGCATGATATCGAGCGTGTATCGCAACGGATTACCCCGGCCAAAATCTTCAGACCCCTCGTGGAATCTCTGTACGTTCATGGTAGCTTTCCAGAGAGCATCGTACTTCGAGAAGAATGTTGAGTTTTCCTTGTAGAGTGATGCGGTATCTCGAGAGTGGAGATAAAACCTGTTCTCGACGGGAGATCGTGCTACAGCAAGCATCCTTTGCTTGGAGACAGGATTCTCAGTGGTGAACCGTCTCAAGACGTGCTTTTGAAACACATCTGGAGAGTACTCTGCATTCAAATTGCTCTCCACCTTCTCAAAGCTCTCTTCGGATGCTTCACGCCGGCGTCGCGTTGATCGAAGCTTGAAATTGCCGAGCTCGTTGCCCCGGACCATGTCCTTGACGGCGCTAAGGGCTCTCCACATCCAAACGTGATCGTCCAAGCGGAATTCGTTCGGTGTTGTAGGATCTGTCTTGGGGCGAGGGAATGCATAAAACCCTCGAACGTTGGCAGTTTCGAGTACCTGAATCCAGTTGGTCGCAAGAGCCTTGAGCTCTGTCAAAAAGACACCGTCCTTGTCCAACTTGAATAGCCTCCCATAATGAGCAAGCTTGATCAATTGAAATGGTGTATCGGTCAAAGATTCTGCGGCCGTGTCGGAGTTCGAATCACCTTTGATGATTAGTTTACCAGTCACCCAATAATTGGCTCTAAAGCACCCGTCGGCCTTTTCAGCCTGTTTCAGCCAGGCTACATGCCCTCTGCATACTTTCTCAATGCGCTTTCGTAGATTTTCGATGTGAGTGCCTTCAAAGGCAAATCTTTGGTCCTCGCTGGACGTTGTTGGTGGGCTTTGGGCCAACGCAGTTTGTTGGATCGAACTTAGATGTCTGTACATCGATAAAAGAAACTGGAAAGTGAGACTGTATTGTCAATTATATTGCGATGAAGCAGCTCAGGGTGACTTGCAAGCTTGCTGAGTTGACGATCCGATGTCCCGATATATCTCCACATGTGAGAGCTATTCCGTCCCGATCGGGTTGAGGTGTCGGAATACTGCGAACCGAAAGTATGTGTTCCAAGTTCCGTCTCATGATAAATCCATATGAACATTCCGCGATAATTCCAATCTGGTGAACAAAGCTTCTCTGAGCATCATGTGCATGGCGCAGAGACTGTCTTGAGTAATGGGGAAACTGTTACCGTCCCAATCTTTGTCACGAACTAAGATCTTGTAACCCACAGTGATCTTGTACCACAAAGAATTCTGGAGAGTTCACAACTATGACAGGATCATCGTAGTTGTTACTGAGCTCAAGCTTTTGGGCTACACCATTGACAAAGATGGAGACAGCCAGGAAGACGGAATCAAATTTTTCCCATTCCTCACACTCCTTGTCGTTCCGGAACAAGCCCTCATGTTCAAGTATGAATCCGTAACCATCTTCACTAATTCGATACGAATAGTTCTTATGCAATTCGTCATCGTTGAATGAATACGCAGCATCGATGAAGTCCAGGTCCCGTAACAGCAGTTTCGCTGCCATAGTGATGTCCAATCCAGACGAATAATGGATAGGGTCTGATTTCGTCGACCACTGATACTGCTGGAAGATAGCACATTGGAATGCGACATGTAGTACTTCGGCTGTGACGCGTTCATATTCCATGGTAATGAGTGGCCATCGATCATGGATGAATTCATGCCTTGTTTGAGGAGACTCGTAGAGACTCAAGTCCGGACTGAATGTATACGCGCCCCCACTTTGTCCATTGACCTCACGAGCGCCCATAAGTTGTCTTGCCCGTATTCGGACTCAATAAGGCTCGACCGTGTCAGGAAGATCCGAGCAGAAGAAGCCTGAGCGACTGGAGCCATGGGTCTGGGAGATTTGTATGAGATCTCCGAATGCGTTGAGACTCGCTGTTGTACCGCTATCCCCAAAAGATACATATGAATGTGTCTCAAGGTAGTATTGTTTTTCGTGTGACTGTTGTTTGGGCATTGACGTGCAGATACCCGGGCTTAAGTTATCTGGTCTCGATTCTCAGAGACTTTCACTTGAGTAGAAATGTTCAAGCAAATTTACCAAGAAGGGAATTGCGGGTGTCAACTCTACTAGAGCAAAAGAGGATTTGAGATTCGACATCCGTCTTTGAGTCGAATGCATCGCGTTCAGGGCTGTTATTAAATAGACTGAAGACCCAGCAATCTAACCGAATATGAGCGCCTGCCTTTCTCTAGCTTCGCATGTCTCGTTTGACGTTCACTGATCTGGAAAAGGTGATGTTGCAGCTCCGGCTTTCTTTTTCGCTGACGAATCCTCGAATCATGAAGGATTGCATTACATGCAAGTGAGATTGACGCTGCACTCTTAGCGCCTACACGCTCCACCTCTGATTGAGTTGACGCACGAAGCAGTGCGAGAGGTGCATTGTTTGCTGCGAATGGCTTAGCTACTTCTGCTTTCATAGCTGCCGTTGTGGGTACGCGGCTCGTATCGCAGATAGCGTATGCATACGAACCGAGGCTTGTAAGACTGAGTTGATTATTGGCAGATCAATACCAAAATGCTCGATAGTGTATGACAGATGCGCAACAGGTATTGCGTATGCGTTCGGTAGCATACGAACATGCAACAGCCGGTCAACATACCAACGTAGTCATAACACATCCTAAAGGTATACGTTGTGTTCCAGGTCAATATAGTGGGAAACGTAACTTGATGTATCTCTGTAGAACAGACCTTGTACGGTCGGTGCAACTGATGAGAGACGAGCTCCTTCGTACGTTTTTGTAGGAAGGCAAGCAGAGTTCAGGCGTCCATATACAAGCAGGGGCCGTTGCATTGCTGACAGGCAATCGCTTACTGCAGGAGATATTAACTGTATGGTTGAGAAGCGATATAGCACCAAACACGTGGCCGTTCCAATTGCTTCCTTGACTTGCGCGTTCTCTTGTTGGGTGTTGATTTCTTTTGCAATTTGTCTTGTACACCATGACTGATCTCATTTCCGTCGAGGAACCCACGAAATGGGGCAAAGCCACCGAGTCCTCAGCAACTCGCTACAGCCGCACCAACGCACCGCAGCATGGCTTGGGCAATAGCCTTAGCAGCATGATGAAGATATCAGGAGGCCAACACGTCCTTGTAACCGCCTGCGGCCCAGGAAACGACGCTCTCGCCATTGCGCAAATCGTAGGCCAGTCCGGGAGAGTCGTAGGTTTCGACCTGGACAAACACAGCATCGACCGGGCCCGGGAGGCTCTAGAGAAACACCCAGACCTCAAGCCATATGTACAGTTTCATGTCGCCGACGCGCACGATCTCTCCATGTTCGCAGGACAGACGTTCGATGCCATACATTGCAACGCGTCATATCACTGGTTCACCAACAAACCTCTTTTCCTTGCGCAAGTTGCGACTCTCGCAAAACCTGGCGCTGTTATTGGTATTGCGACCCAGGACCGCAACTTCCAGCCGCCCATGCTGGATCTTCGAACCGAAGTATTGGCAGAACTCGGTGAGAATGCAGCTGACTTTATATTCCATCCGACTCCAACGGAAATGCGACGTGACCTGGGCGACGCTGGATTCGGCGATGCGAAGCTATTAGGGTACTACGGCACGTATGTGCTCGAGAGCGCGGAGGCGATGTGGAACTGGATGAATGACAGCTCGGGGAATCGATTCGGCAATTACTTGGAGGAAGGGAAGAGGGAGCGTATGATGCAGATGATGCTGGACAGGTTCGGTGGGTTGGCTTTGAAGGACGGAAAGGTGGTGATGCAATTCAAGCACATTGTTGCAATGGGGTACTATGGTCATTGATATGTCAGTATTGGCTCAGAAAGACATTCAAAGCTCACTCAGATTCAAAGCTAAGAAACGTGTTAATATACGCCTCATGCGTTTACCATCTTTGCATTTCGTGACATCAGCGTCGGGCTCCAACAACGTAGTAGCCTGCGTGAGAGCTGAGGTTGGCAGACGTTCATGGTGTCGCGCTCTATGCTCGTATATTTACAAGATAGCAGCTGATGCATAGTAACGCGTTATGGTCATGTTCCAATAGCATGATAAAACGCGCACGACCCAAACATGGATTTGTGGGTTTGTGATGGTTGGGAGTGGAAGCCATGACGAAGGAGAGCTCGCTTTGGAATCGAAGCTAGCCTGTGCGCCACGGCCCCGCCGCCTTTCCTCGCCGCCAACCTGCCGCCGCATCTCTACATGACCTCACGACCTATCGGTAGCGTACGTCTTGTCTTGTGACTAGCATCAGCTGCACTTCTTCTTCTTCCCTAATGGCAATCTCGTAGTTGCTTCCACGAAAAGCTGCAAATAGTCGCCGGGATGAAGGACACTTTCGAAGTTCTTGAACAGATAACAAGTAGAGTCATGCCTGACGCAAAGCTGGATATCAAGTCCCCAAGATACGTTTACTGATTTGGAGAGAATTTGGCCCCATATCGTACGATCGGTTTATCTCTATCTCTCGCGGAACATGTTGTCCATGACCTAATCGTCTTGGTTTGCCCTACAAGTGCCAGCATACCATTCTCGATCCCACCTGACGAGCGCACATGAAGTGCAACACATCGGAAAATCTCCCTCCCCAGAAGATGACTTTGTCAATTTCTCAGCGTACACTCTAGAAGTTAATGTAATAGTTGGCCTCCATGCTTCCATGAAGTACTCCCTCGGTCTCCACGTCTTCGATCCTGCTGGACATTGTGCTGTTGGAAGGTGTGATGCCACCAGCATATGCCTGTCAAAACCGGATCTGTCCAGCTATTCCTTTCACGATAGATACCGTGTTCTTCGCTCTTGTTGTAGCTGTTTTGAACTCTGTCTTCAGAGCATTGAGATCTCCATCGACTTTTCTTAGCACATGTTCGATGTGGAGATAAGGCGATTTTCGATACTCTCTTCGAAGCTTTCTTCTAATTGTACCATAGTCTTCTACCTCGTCCATCATTAGTAATACAAGGCAGATGCCTCACGCACGCTAAGGAGCTGACTTCACTTTAGTAGGCTTCACCTGCATTTATCTTGGTCAAAGCTAGCGATGCAGCTAGCAGATGGAGGTAGTCTTGGAGCGGTTTGACATGTGCAATACGAAGTAATGCTAAGCAGCCTGCAGGAGGGATTCATGAGCGATAGGCCCGGAAAGATGCGTCTTGTGCGAACTCTCAGTACTTGATGATTCCAGATTCGACGGATGACTCCACTAATCGCCTTCTTACGTCTACACAACAGTCGCGTTCTTCAATGGCCAGTTGATACCCTTATCCGCTGCCCCTGTATTTCCCAATCCTGCACAGTTGTACAATCCGACAGGGTTGTTCTGCGTAGCCCTCAGGTATTGTAAATCAACACACTGCTGGGTACCGCTGCTAGCAGCGAGAGCAATACGCCCATCGGCCATGGCGTTCCAGGTCTGCTGTTCGCTGCCGGCTACGCATTCTCGGATGTAGATGTTAGCCATGTCTTTCCAGCCGGACTTAGGCCCAGCATCCATGCAGAGAGTGGTGGATGCGAGTTGGATGGACGTAGCGTTGTTGGGCGCCTTGATGTACCATGATTGCTCTGGAGTAGATGTAGTGCTTTGCCTGGGGCTAGTGTCAGAAGAGTTGCACAGGTGATAAGGATTGAAAATGGTCTTCGGCCTTACACTACCAGGGTTGCTCCTGCGGCTCGCGACTTGGGTACAACGACAAATTTGGTGTCCTGCGCGGATGTTATGTAGACCGCACGGTAACCTTCTGGTGCTTGTGAGAGACCAGTGGCGGCCAACGCGAGGACGAGGAGAGTAGTAGTGAGCATTCTTGAAGCTGTTGCCAGTTCTAGGGATTTGCTCTGGGCTGGCTGGAAACCAGAGGGGAAAAGAGGCTATATATGGTCATTGTCTTCCATAATGTTTCGAGATTGGTGTTTAATTTGATATTGTCACCCGGTCACAGTATCTGTTTGACTTCGAAACTAATACGCATAGTAGATGCGGGGGCACAAGTGGTGCTTGTTCTATGTGGGGTCGTCTACTGGGGTATGTAGTCGAGAATCTATGGGTGGTAATCTAGCGTTTACCCGTCGCACGCCCTGCATTGTCGGTAGTTGGAACGATCATCAGGTCTCGGCAACCAAAATTATCCCCGATTCCATGTATCATATGCCTCGACCGATCTTTGGGTGTCTTCGATGAAGCATTCTAGGCAGAACCAGTCCTACCACGTTTTTCCTCTTGCCTTTTCTTTCCCTCTTCTTTCAGTTGAGCATCGTCCTTCCTCGACAGCTCTACTTGAGGCATCAAGAACCAAGCGGCGATGAATGCAAGTGCATTCAACACTGCTCCAACGATGAAAATCGCTCGAAAACCCTGCTGGTAGGCCGAAGCAAGTGCAGCACGGATCAAGTCCGTACGCTCTTGGCCAACTGAATCGCGAAACATGTCCGGTGTATCAAGTAGCATTCGAATCTCTGGTTTTGAAAGCCCGTATAGAACCAACGAGGAGCGAACTGCGTTGTTGATTATCGTGCCGGAGATCGCGAGACCAAGAGTGCCGCCAAGATTGCGTATGAAGTTGCGCGTCGAAGTGACGACAGCCATGTGTTTGCGCTCCACGCCCGCCTGCACAGCGATTAACGAAGGTTGCAGCGTGTTTCCT